GAATTGATCAACATCAACTCTTCTAATCACAAATGCATGATTATGCTATACTTGAACAGAATTTCAAGCATTTATGAAATCAATAAAAAAAATATCTAATCGTTTAAAAATCTGGTAATTTTCATAAAATGCTTTGAAACTGGATTGTAATTCTTAATCTTCACATAATTTAGATGACGTACCGAAGACATTACTTGGTGAAGGATTAGCTAAGAAAACTATTTCGTATTAATTACAAAAATCTTTCATTATATCAACAGTACCACACAAATTTAAGTATTACTCTGAACACTTACACTTTTAATCTGTTCATTATGCAGCAGAACTTCAGGAATGTTAACGACGATTTATAAATTGGAACTACTTTTTGATTGCCAATAGTTGTCTGTGGGGCAAACTATGTTTAAAGTAGCCGATCTTGGACGGATTCTGCGGTGGAAATCGAAATCAATAAATACCAACTATTTTTCAAATCACTTGGCTAGTCGACATGTACCACATCAACTTTTGTTGTGCCTGTGAATCAATTGGTCGATATGATATGTGTGTAATTTTAATATTCTGGTTAGCGTTTTTTAGCGAGTTAGTTTTCTACGGGATGGGGACGCTAACCTCATGCCCAACCCTCCTCCTTTATCCGGGCTTGGGACCGGCAGTAGCCCCCGGAGGGACTCCAGGCGGAGCTGTAATTTTAATATACATCTGGCTTAATAATGGACATCATAAAGTACCAGAAAGCTTTTCTTCGCTCTATTTTACCATTGTCCTGGCAGTGTACTTGCACAACGTCAAACATTTTCAAGTTAAACACTTTTGAACATGTAGTCGGACGTGATATGATTTTAGATTAAGGGTCAGAATTCATTGGTTGTGTTATATTTTTACTAGTTGTTAAGACACTAGTAGCAAATAATGCAATATTTTTCAAATTCATTTCACTCAAACCATGTGTGTTTATATAATTGTTCGTTATCCTAGAGTTTGTATATATAGTACATTACTTATATTGCAGTGTTGAGAATAAACCATCTGAAAAGAACTGTATATAATGTTTCAGCTATTCTCTGTACATGGTCCCAACCAAACTAAACAGACAGTAGGAATACAAAGACAAATAGGAGTAACAAGACTAATTAAAACGACTAGTCACAAACAAGGTTGTGACAACAGACTGATTTTACACTTCTGTCATGAATAAAATATGCCAATGAGTGACGTTCGAATGGAAAGCCATAACTGCTGGAGATCAGACTTGTCGGAAGTGAAACATTCGTCACGGGTGGTGTTGGTTGGTTGTCACACAGTAATGCGAAAAGACTAGAATTAGAATTGTTAACTGTTAGATACCAACTCAGTTGTTCAAATGGTTAAGTGCTTGCAGTGACACTTGACATTTCCAAGTTTGATATCCGGGTGGGTTAGCCGATGTGCGCTGTCGATGTATCCCACACCAATACGAGGCAGATAATCATTACTTCCTTGTTTTCAATGGTACCCCAAGCTTCTAAAACCAGTATTTCGTTGATCGACTAAACTCAAATAATGAATGCAGCAGAGTTTATAAATTTTTCAATAAAGTTTTCCATAGATACTCAGCATTATTATTACCACGAACAGTTGTACGTGAAGGATACTATAACTAGTTCATCTCATCAAATAAGTAATATTGAAACCAATCAGATAGTTATTTGTTAGGTAGACGTTACGTCGATCAAATGTTTTCAAAAAAGTAATATTTTAGATGATGAAATCTACAAGGAGTTATCCAGATGCCCGATATTTTAAAAATTCTAACCGGAAAAATATCTTACTTTCTTAGTTGAGTTAACGCACCTTTAATTATGAAATAATCAGAAAAAAATTGTTGTTCCAAAACGTTATTAAGCGTTCGGTACCTTTCAAAGAATAATGCGGATAAATGTTTCAGATGGTCAGCTACAGTGAAAGAAATACATTTAGTAAGTTCAAAGTACTGCTTTGTTGAAATGAATCGTACTCATTTTACGTGATCAGTTCATCTTAAAACAATAATTATTGTTATTTACTGGACCAACTATGAGAAAATTGTCTTTGTTCCAAAGGTAGCATTTGCGTCCTCTCTTAACATGGTTTTCAAAGCCGGCATATATATAATATATCACCTATTTGCATGTACTTACATTCATCATTGATACGTATAAACTGTTGCTTTGAAGTGATTTGTTAGGATGATACTTATCAAAATCACATTCATTGTGTTACAAAATATCGTTAACATTATTGTAAAAATGTTGACTTCACCAGTGTCGTCCTATTTTTATACAGTTAACTCATATATTACCTAACTGTTCAACCATATTAAGATGAAAGCCCCTGAACTCGATTTCAAGTGATGATGGTTTGAACACATATAGAATATTGAAAGCCTAGTTTCCCAAGTTTTATATTTTCCGTATCACACCATTTTCTAACAGATATTTGTTCTATTCCAATAACTGTTCCTAATTTTTTTGTAGACAGAACATACATTTTTAATCGATCCTGGGATACTGAAAAAAGGAACATTAATTAATATTAGAATTTTCGTCATGTGACTAACACTGCGAACCAAGACTCTCATTTCGTCTTATTTAAAACTTGTTATTTGGATGAGATACCTGAATTTCAATGTTAATATTCACGCTGTTTTAGACGTAGCGTGTTTTGATTCAAATATCTAACAATTTACCACTAAGTTAATAAGTTCGTATAACCACTAATTTGTTCAACATATTAGTGAAGTGCCTGTAATTTCCCATCATTGAGTTGCGTAATACAACGATCAGAGACTAGAGACACTTTCTGAAACACAGTTTTTTCTACCATTTTCCTAGTTTTCAAGATCATTGTTTATTTTTTCCTAAAAATGATTTATTTAAGATGGAATATGTTTTATTATTGATAAATGACTATGAAACTGTATGGTTATAAAACACAGAACATATATATGTTATCATGAAATAATCAACAACGGTATGTACTATTTTACACATTTTTAAAAACTCAGAACAAATCTAAACTAAACTGTTGTCAAAATAATGATATTTGATAAAAACCAAAAATAACCAAAATTGTAACTCTTTCTGATGTTAATTTTTCTTATGTCATTTAATAACTGAATCTGTATAGGACTAAATCAAGTGTTTACTTTCAAGAGAGAAAAAAGTGAGGTCGAATCCAACTGTGATTTGATTGACTCTAAAAATAACATCGAAAGTAGAAACTGACAATTACTAAAATTGACATATGTTCAATAGTTGGATTGAATGTGCTGATCCATATAACTGTGACATTTCAATTTAAGACTGCGAAACTAACAAAACGTAATTACTTTGATTCCGATTGAAGTTAGTCGGCTGAAAACCATTGTACTTGAGTTATGTGTAGTCAGACTAATGTCGTTGTGTGATGTAAACTATAAACTTCATCAATCTTCACAGAATTCTTACTTTAATGTTCTGTATTTTATAATACTTAGACAGTCACTGAAGATAAATGCTATTCTGATCAATACAGTTATTCTGGCACTTTACAAAATTAACTATTTCATCATATTAATCAAATTTATTAAATGAATTGAAGACTCCTGAATTGAGTGCTTATTTAAACTTTGCAAATAGTTTCGGCGAACCCTTGAAACTGATGCTTTCTGTGTTTAGAAAAAGTTACCGTTAACTTAAATTAAGCAAAACAGAAAATAACTCTCTAATATAGTGTTTGTTTTCTGAAAATGAACTGTACTGTTAGTGTAAATTATTGTATATTTATGGTAAACAAAAAATGGTGGTGCAAACAAACAAAGTGATTTTCACATATACGATTTACCCTTACATTATTACATAATTTCGATATTTATCTCCATACTATTATTTAACTATTGTAAAATTAACATGTAAAGCATTGAATTCAGATTCAGTGATCTCAAGGTTAAGTGTTTGCTCATGAGTCCAAATGTCCAGGGATCGATTTCGTCTTGAGGTAGTGGCCATGCACTATTGAGGAGTCCCAGACTGGGACGAAACAGCTGTCCTGTGTTTCTTGGTTTTTAATGGTTGTCTAGTCTATGTCGGTGGTTATTTAAACTATGAGGATTGACTTTCTCTAAGAAGATTAGACTTACGGCTCCTAACTTGATCCAATATTTTTAACGACTATATATGAAATCTGGTAAACAAAAAGAGCCATTCATTGCATAATGCACACAGAGATTTATATACATATAGCTTAACAGCTAGCACATATGTCACAGTTAAAATTGCCATCTAAAAGTTTTTAATACCCTTAAAAGCATTTGCTATCCATCGATTGACTGGTGAGAATTGTACTGTATATATAATTCTTTTCGAGTTTGTATAAGTGACATTAAACGGATTATTAACTCTAAAGATTGTATTTTGACATATCCAAATAAGGATTATGCAAAATTATCTGAAAAGGCAATCTGTTCATACATGAAAATTGTAGTGAAAATCAATCTTAACCAATAATACCCTACTACTCTCCTTCATATTTCTATCATTTTAATGTGTTGTGTTAATGGGCAGATCGAATATAACACATATACATACGATAGATGTAGTAGTGAAATTCTTACTTAAATTTTACCATATATATATGTATATATGTCCAAAGAAAATGTGTGTATCCTTGACTAGTGTTGATGCCCACACAAATATAAATTCTACAGATGACCTTGATCTATTTCATGTCTTATATCTGATTGAAAATTTCTCTTATAATAAAGAATTCCCTATTTTTAAACAATTTCAAATGGTTCAATTCATGACTGTCACACACTTATAAATGTGCTCTAATGTGAATTTGATTGGTTCAAGTCGAATTCAATTAATTACATTGGTTAAATTATTATGGTGAATTTAAGAGAAAATCAGATACCAAGTCTACCACAAACTAAAATCACTTTCTTTCTTTTATTAGCAGAAAAACGAAAGTTGTTTTAAGTAAATTTTTCCCTCGGATTTATGGCCAATCAACCTTTAGCTAGTGGACTTAGTGCTCAAGTCAAAAGAAAGGTAATTTTGATTTTAAGATATAGATTTTTATGTATTTGTCCAATCTACTATACTTTGATAAAAGCTAAGGCAAATTTACTCGAAAATAGCAAGCATTATTCAAGGTTGAAGCTGTGAATTACTGGATGCTGACTTAGTATAGTTCAAACGCTCACTGCAAGACCTGACTAACCTGAGGACACTCCCCACTACTGAGAAGTCCTATACTGGTGTCAAATAACTGTTTAACGTGTCCTGATTTTCAATGGTTGTCTAACTATAATCATCCTGTTATGTAAAGTATGAAATTCGAGTAAAGTCCTTCTTACAACATGTATTTTCAATCGTCCATCATACAGAAAGTACAACTTGAAGTGGAAGTGCTTCGTCTTATTCTTCAATTACTTTCAACTTACTTTATTAACAAACAATCGAAAATATTTTATTTTTATTTGTCAATATTTAACTTCTAGGCATTACATAAAAAAAAACTAATTTTAATAAAAAGAGGAAACGTTTAGACTGTTTTATGTGACCATAGTTTTATGTGAAATTTACAATGATTTTGATACTATTGAAGCTAAACTGCACTTAACTAACTGAGAAAAATTAAGGACATAGTATGTGTATACGTCTACGTGTGTGTGTTCATGAAATTGTAGAATTTTCAGCATTATTATCACTTTTCTGTGCACCTCTTATACTCAGATAAATTCGTTGAACCATCTATGCAGTGTTTTTCAGATTAATAATTATCTTCAAAAATAACGACATTTAATTAAGTTTACTCAATATTAGCTTTACAAATAATTTCATAATAATAAAACAGTGTTAAAATTCAATACTTCAAGCTTTTACTAATTTGTGTACATGGTTTACCAAACATGTAACATAAATAATTTAAATGTACTGTTTGTGGTAACTTAGAAAAATAATTATATTTTATCCGAAGGGTTTTTTGTGGATATTATAGTAATTTCAATAGTTGAAATCATGAGTCAATTGAAGCTAGACCACCATGGAAAATCTGGAAGCACCGGACGGCCGTTTCCCACAATAGGTTTTCCATGGTGGTCTAGCTTCAATTGACTCATGATCCCAACTATTGAAATTATATTTTAATCATTAATCACCTTGAAAACTATGTAGATTGCACTGTAAGTTCCTAATATCACAATTATGTAATGTTGAGATTAGATGTAGGGTAATCAGTAAATTTAAAAATACGGTCTATCATTTTGTAAATTTTGATTGTCTGAGAAAGTTGAAGGTGGCTAAATCACGACTGAGTTATTTCATTCCAATAATTATTGAACTGTACGATAGTGATAATTAGTGATTGAAAACCGCTAAAAATCAATCACAATGGAATAGATGCATCTATCATTTTTTATTCCCCTGAATTTTAAGATCCAACATAACACTACACTTTTGATTAGCCATTCAAGTTGTTTTTCGATGTAAATTTTTTATATTTATTCAGTTATCCACTGATTTAGCTCTTTTCTATCCCATCTTGTTAATTTCGCCGTCCTACGATAATTACCACAACTCTAACCTATTATCTTTTGTTTTGAGTGTCCAATTTTGTACATATAGTTAAAATAAAGGCATTTTAATATGTAAGATTTACTTTTAGTATGATACGTTAAGTAACTGTTTTTATTATTTCATCGTTTAATCAGAAAAAAAATGAACTTAATTCTTAACAGATAAATACTTTGATTCAGCTGAAACGCAGATATTTATTCTGTAGTCTACCACGTTAGAATAAAAAAGAAATGGAAATATCCTAGGTTTCAGTATTAAATAAAAATTAAGTGTGAAATTCGATCGAAAAATTTAAATTGACGGATGTCATTAGCGATATTTTTAATGTTTAGTAGATGTATTTCCAGTACTTTCAAATATTTTCTTCAGTCATTTATTGAGTGCTGCGCAGCAGAGTGTAATTATAATTAGAGATTTCGTTTCGATCCTTAGCTGCCATCATATATAAGTTTATCATCTGGGCTTCCTCACACTGACATGTGCACGGCAAACGAATGTTCATAATTCCAAATTCTTGAAATGAACTCTTTGGTCAAATTGCCTCTTGATATCTAGGGCTCACCCACCGAAGAGCTGGATACCCCACATCTATTGAACATTGGAAAATCTGCGGATAACCCCAGCCTTTTAACTTCAATACAATTAATGATTTCGATATTTCGAGCTTTTCGTCAAAATTCAATTATTTTTATAGAGAAACCAATCTATGATTCAATAATGAACCAATTATTTGAATTATAGTAAAGTGTTTTATTTAAATATTAAACTTACTGACTAATAAACCTGATGGGTGATTAAATCTTTGTCTATCAGAGAACATATGACAAACAAAGTTACTTATGATGAGAGTATACTAGAAAGAATAAAATAGCTTTCATTAAACTAGCTGGAATAACCTGTTGAGTCAATCAAGATCTGGTGTGATGTAATCACCATAGTATATATATATATATATAATTGATCAAAGTTGTGAACCAAATATGAATTACTGATTCTCATCTCAATGACTCAATTTCATTATGATCGCATAAAAATACAGGTATCCTGAACTTGGTCACTTGTAAAGCATCGACTGCTCCTTAGTCACAAACTATGGTGAAAACAATATTAAACATTTCATGTTTCTTTGAAAACTTGTTTTTCAATAGTAACATTTTTTTAATTTAGTGTTATTCATTCCATCGTTTATACGGTTCATCTACTTCTGTGCTGAGAATTCTATATTGTACCAAAATATAATATTGAATAAAGCCATTAATAATAATAATAATAATAATAATAATAATAATAATAATAATAATAATAATAATAATAATTAAATTTAGCTCAGAGTTGAGATGATTAGTTATAATACACTGAAAGCTTTACAATGATATTCTTATAAACAGGCTGTAAAACCAAGCTAAAATCAATTTTCTACTGTCTGTCAAAAGTCAACCTAACAATCATGAATAATAAATACTAATTTTGGCCTGAACGCATTACTACATAGCTTGGGACACCCATGAAGAATTCATCCGCGACTAAAAATTTATCACTGTGAACACGTGGTCTTCATTTAGGAAGGCTACATCTCTCTGCATGTTTCAGAGTAACATTCAGGGATTTCATGGAATAATAAAGCGTATCTAATACATCTGATAAGATGTCTATTACTGAAATTACCGTGTTGACAAATGGTATGAAGTGACTATATTAAACTAACAACATAAGCTATAACACTCTTTCTAATATTAGACATGGCATTTCTGTGTTTGATATATTAAATTAATAACCGTACAACTGTTTAATTCATTATCACTAACTGTCTAATCTAAATTAGTTCGAATAATAATTTTAAGAGATTTGTTTAATTCTTGTGAGTTAGTCGTCAGTAAAATCTCGGATCATGTTTCATACTATTTGGTACTCGTCCGCAAAAAATAACAATCTTAGGGGAACCGATGCTCTGTTATATGGGATACAAATCGAAATCACGCAACTTCAAAGGCTCATACATCACCACTGAACTATTCAGGCTACGACCGACCTCCAATAGGGTTTAAATATCTACAAATGACAGATTATTGAGTAATCACCAATATCCCGTTTGTCTAGTCTTCTTTCAATCACGCAGTTTTGAATCATTCAGTGACAATCAGTTTAGTCAACATTGCAGGTACACCTTTCTAACCAATACCAACTAACATGAAGCTTAGGTTCATTTTTAACAGACTTTCCAAGAATAACCTTTTATTGTAAATTTCTTGATTTATACAAAAATACAGTAAAATGAACAGTGTACCATTATAATAAAAATGAACAACTTTCGGTTTTCCCTTTTTAAATATTTAACACAATTAATGTTTAATTTTTAGTCTCACAAAATGAAAAGAAGATAATTGAACTAATGTTAATAATCACAATAAAGGTGAATAACAATGACAAAATATACTTGTTAAATTAATTTCCCTGTCTATGAATATTATATAAATAATCAATCACAAATTCCATAATGATCGTTAACTAACTAACTAACTATTGAAACACGTTGGATCTGGGTTTTTTTCAGTTTCAAAATGTTTAAATTTATATCTGTATTCAATTTCATTATTGTAAAAATAAAAGCATTCATATTTATTCCCTGCGTTATTTAACTAGTTCACATTAAACTCATCTAACTTACATGACCTTAAATTCATTAAATATCATTTTGTTTCGAAATTTCATTCTGTAAAAAAAACGAACTATCAAAGTTTTTTAGGGGAAATTGGACAAAAAAGTTACAGGATCAAATTAGTTTAATTAATTACTTTATCCAGTAGTATATATAATTTTTTTTAAAGTTGTTTTCAGTGATCTTTTAATGAAAAGATTTCGACCACAAACTGTGTTTACTGTGTGTATTGATTCCCAATACTTGACTGTTGAACTAAACAATATCAGAAAACAGATTCCCCCATGAGCGTTAGTTAGGTTATCGTAATCTATATACCTGAATATTTTGGATGATACAATTCAAAATTAATTAATTTTTTATATTGCTCTAAGTTTTGAGTTCAATGTCACTCTTGAATTTTCACTGACCAGTTTTACTTGTTTCTTAGGGATCACATCATGCACACATGGACTTTTGATAGCATCGTTACTGTTATCTCATTCAGCTTATTTTTTTATTTCACTAACTCATTCTCTGGCTATCCTAATATTAAGTATATTGTCTTGGATCAATACAAAGTTGTTCAATATCTTGTCTATGACTGATAGATTAGTTAATTAATTACAATACCTGATATAATGTGAGGTATTAAGTAGATGTTTAGTAATTCACTCAACTCGACTCTTTGGTGAGTCTTACACTAGTTATTCAGAACAAAAAGTTCAATTATGAAATTCATTACTTAATTAGGAAATAATTTACAGCATTAGCTAATGTTTTTTTAGAAAAACACTGAGAAACACCGAGAGCGGCGCTAAGCACATGCTTTATCACAGATGTGATTCCTCTGTTGTAGGCTTACTGTGACATCGAAAATTCCTAGATTCTATCTGTGAACTTTTGAGAAGTCCTACACTGAAAAGCAACATACGTCCAGTTCAAATTGTCTTTCAATGGGTGTCTAGATAAAGTTTGTCCATAATTTAAACTACAAACTACCACAGTGGATACAAATTACTATAATTTGATGTCTATTTATCTGACTTCATTTATGAGCATCAATATCAGCAACAAAATAAGTCATTACTAAGACAACATAACTAAAAATAAAGTTAACTGAATAAGTGAAAGTCAGGAGTTCAATAAAATAACAGATTATGCAATAAAAGAACTTTTCTCACTAAAATTAATTTACTTCAACACACTTAAGCTTATTGCGATTATCTTTATATATATTGATTAGGTCAAAAATGCCTGACGACAACGATGTCTGCAAAACGCACTAAATGCGAGGTTCGTTGTCTGTTGATTATTTCCAAAAATTTCGAGCTATTCACTTCGTATTCATTATCCACTGAATAACTGACCATCGTACTTGAAACTTTTTCTCTTTTATAAAGTGATTTCAAGGAATGTGGTCAAAAAACCTTGGAGATTCCTTTACCTCAGTTATTTTCATATACTTGTTTTTGAGAGTACGTGTAAATTCGTTAATGTCACCCGTGGTCACTGCAAAAAAAGAACATTTATCTTCCTTCAATTAGACTTGTAAACATCGTCTTATGTATTTAAATCAATTGAGCTAATTGAAAACTCCATTTAATCTCTTCCCCGACAATAAAATATAATTCTCGTGGTGTTATCTTGTTCAAGTATTCCATGGGATTGTTTATTTTGTTTAGCTTGAAGGAAAACGAGACAGAGATCAAGAACAAAGTGTACTTGATTGGATAGAGGCCGTACTTGGCACCAAGGTGGACCGTTCTAAACCATATGAAGAAGTACTGAAAGATGGAGTGCTACTTTGCAAGTAAGTCACTTATTATGCGAAGCTTTGGACTGCTCGATATTTTGATTCGTGTAAGAATTATCCTAACTCTAGCAACCACTGAGCTACTGAGTTCAGATAGATACTGTAGGATTTAATTTGTTCTACAGATATACTACTAGAACCGTAAACGCGATACTGGCGAGCACAGAGTCTATGTGAAAGCTGTAGTCAGAACAAGGACAACTTGGCTTCAAACTTTATCTGTTTCCACCACTATTGCGTGAATAAAACTGAGTCACACTAACATAATAGGATAATAATGTCTTTTAATTGGTAGGTCACATGCAACAGAGATGGTTTACAGACACATCAGACCAGATCAACGTGGTGGGCGCTTAAACAACAATTTGATTGGTTAGTTGTGGACATAGCTAACAGATACTAGCTTGTTCAACGGGTGGGATCTATACTCTATTCACAGAAAGGACTTTGAAGTATCCCATCGTTGATATTTTGCACTAAATTTCGGCTGGTGATTTTCAAACACGACGAAACATGGACCTTTTATTTTACTGTCAGTCAAAATTCATCCATTCTAAAAACTTATGACTTAACTGCTTTATCCAGACAATCTACTTGGTATGCATATATTTCTGTTCGAAGCCTGACCAAAATTCTGTCCTAGATATCAGCAACGCGACAATTCAAACCCTTTCTGATGATAAAATATGAATATCAAAGTTATGATATGTATCGACTTATCTTCAGAAAAGTAAAAAGATTTTATTAGAGTAAATTTTAAGATTATTGAATGAAAATATCTTAACCGATCTATACTAAATATATTTTTGTTGTACAATAATCCCTGTACTAAAATCATTTTTCTTGACAAGTAAAATTATTTTTATGAGTATGTATAAGTTATACAATGTAGTTACATTTCGGGATGAATGCTCACTCTGAAATCAGCAATGGGTGTTACGTACTACTCCGAACTCGATAACTGAGGTGTGACTGTATCATAATGTTTTTGTTTACACTTAGTCTTAGATCAATTACCCACAACCCTACAGGTCAACGGATTATTTACTTCAACATTGAGTAATAATAGTCACACTTATTTGAAAATTATGGAACATCTTTAACTTTCAGTGCTTATTATTGTTTTTTTGACAATTTACATCACAGACTGATATTTATAAGAAAACAACTAAAGACTAAGAATCACTGGACAGTTGTTTCGTAATATTGTAAGGCCTCTCATCAATCCTCATTCATTCTGATTAGTTCCAAATACTGACTGAAGTCTTATTAAAATGATTAGATGCCGCTCGGTAGTCCAGAGATTAAGTAATCATCACGAGACTCGAAGGTCCTAAGTTTGACCCTGCATAAGGTTGTGGTTGCATATTTCTTAGGGATTCACATAATGGAGTGAAACACCAGTTTATCGCCTCTTGGTTTTTAAAGAATGTCTAAATATTATCATTCCATGATGTTCTCTATAAAATCAAATAATTTCCACAAAGTTGTACACCGATTCGCATTTCATATTGCCAATATTCATAACCAGATCTAAACAGTCTCTTCTGTCACAACTATGTGAAAAGTCCTAACATCCATTTAAAAAGTCCGTATGCTGGTAAAAACTGATCAGATTCAATCTCGAATAACAATGCTCAGTAAATAAAATCTTTTACAAATTGTGTTATGGATGTATTGCTTAACGATTTTTCAGTTTTATCAATGATAAACAGGTTGACAGTTAGAAAATCTGCTCTTTCATGTTTTACATAAAGTATTTACTGGATTATCAGTAAATGTATTCAATTAGCTAATTCATTCTCACAATTGGAAAGCACAAGCATTGGAAACCTAATCTAAAAGATGTCAATATCAAATTAAGTCTTTATCTGTATAGGATCTTATCAACTGAATTTATCGAAGATCATCATCTTTCTGATTTGCCTACTTGATAACTTTTTGCATAAGATTCAAATACTGTAAGTTTTTTGTACATAGAACAATTTAATCCATAGTTCGTGTATTTTCTACCATATTTTATTAGAGTTATCAATAAACTAAAACCTGGTAGTGTTAAGAGAATCAATGAGAACGCTACTATGCCATTTAAAATTATGGAAAACATTAATGCATTTCAAGAAGCAATTAAGGCATACGGGGTGCCTACTGCTGATGTTTTTCAAACAGTCGATTTATTTGAGAAAAAAGATATTGCTCAAGTGACACAATGTATTTATGCTCTTGGAAGAACAGTAAGCTATATTTGTTTATTTTTTATGATAGATATCATGAACTGATTGGGTGTTAACTGTTGTTTGAAGTTTAATTGCTCATTATGAGATCTTGAAGTTTTGAGTTCGATCGCTAGTATGTTCAAGGATAAATATTGATGCGGTGTTTAAAACTAGGACAAAGCAATTTCACTGCTTACTGACTTCCAATAACTATTAAAATGAAATGGGACCATAGTGTAAAACTACGAAATTCATCAATCCCTATAATCTTGTATACTAAAAACATATGTTGAGTGACTATGAAATCATCTTCCTTAGAAAACTTTCTAATAATTTTTTGGTGTAATGTAGTTTAATGATTTAAACAGTCAAAATCTTGGCTGTAACCTACTAAATTCTAAGCTTTCGTTTAGTCAGTTAACTAGTATCATTGACGATTGTATGCACACAAAGTGTATCTGAATACATAAATCTCTTCATGAGAAATAAATTACTTCACTTTAAAGGTTATTTTTCCTTAAACCACGCAAATTTATCAACGAAATCATTCATAAGATTAAATTTTTAATATGTATGTGTGTCATTTTATAAACTGATAAAATTAAATAAGTACTTTATTTAAATTTTCTTCAACAAATTCGATGTTTACTAACTTTCACTTCATATCACTTCATAGATTATGCGATTCGCATAGGATACCTCAAATTTTGTTCACTATATTTCACTGATATTTATTCCTATTATTAACCTCATAGTTTTATTGGATTTGAAACCTTATTCAAACATAAATCACTTAATAGTCATTTCAACAATTACGCAATCCTCAGCCACTGTTTTCGCTGACAAACTATCCTGAGAAAGCTAGAAGCTACGAAGCCAAGACAGCATTATTTATGAAGTCATTTACTATTAGTTTGGACAGTGTAAAGAGAAGCAGTCTACCCAATTAGATTCTATACGATAATTTTTATCTACAGTTTGAGAGTTTAGTTGACGTATCACTAAATCAATTAAAAGGTGATGAAGATCCATTCATTTTTTATCTCACCCCGAATTGCAGATTTCAATAATAATTCATAATTTTGTGTTCATAGATTTCATTACATTATATCTAAATATATTCTACATAGTAAATATTTTCACTATAACGTACGGTACTTTTGATTCTACTTCCCTGTTATTCAATTTGTTATTTTCACTACTCCGCACTGATACAGTTTGACAAACTGAGTCAAGACATATCTTTATCTAGCCTATTGTTTTTACAAATGATTGACCAACTCACATCTGTAGAATTTCATAAAAATTTATTGGAAAGAACATTTTTCTGTTATATATATCATAAATGTTTTCCTAAGTACTGAAGATTATCAAACAATTATAATTCAAGCTGATATCAAATAAATGGAGTATGATTAGCAGTTTAATCCAGGACACTCGTTTCATCCTATTCAGAACTTGTTAGTCAGATGTAACTGGATCCCATAGTTAATGTTCACTCCATGACTCCAACGCAGTACCATTCAATTCAAAAGCCACTGTATTAGATGGAACGCGGCTAACAGACTGATCAAATTTCCGTGAAAAATATCAACAATGGGAGAATTCAACCCATTTTAAACCGAACTACCATTCCGTTACTAATGATGGTTTGTCAAAATCTAAATCTGCTATTGATCAGTCTTGATTGTCATTTGTGGATCCTGATTGGGTTGCCTCTATGAAGTCATATTTCCACAAGTTTTTGAAATGGATAGATTGTGGCTAACAGTGGGTTCCAGAGTTCATGTTTCATTCGATTTGGGATGTTCCCACATTCCACTGTTAATATTTAATTGATTGATAAACGTTTTTAATGGTCATTTTTCACAGCCCATTACCCTAATTAAAATGACTTTAATCTTCTAAAAAAAAACTTTCAGTGTCAAACACATCCGGAATACATTGGCCCTACTTTAGGTCCAAAATTAGCTCAAGAGAATAAACGTGAATTCACTGACGAACAATTACGTGAAGGCGCGAATGTGATTAGTCTACAATATGGTACAAATAAAGGTGCTTCACAAGCTGGCATGACAATGGGCAAACAAAGAATGATTCTTGATTAAATTAATTATTTATGAAGAATACTGAAACATATCTATCAATCTATTGAAACTATGACCATTTGATGAGGGCAATTTTTTAAATTCTAATATTAATAGTCACAAACTTGATTGAGTCTTAACTATGCAACTCAGCATGTCAATGAAATGCTTTTTTCTCACAACTGCTTTTTTCCTCGTTTAATTGTATCTTAAGCTTATTCTTGACTCATCGTATTACAGCTGATCAAAGTAACAACAATACTAAGGTATAACCTTGATTAATCGTTCATATGATTGAATGTTAATGTTAAATCACGTGCTTAACTTCTTAATAAAAATTTCACATATTTGTGCTGCTAAATAATAATAATAACAACCGCAACGCTTTTTTCCTTAATTTTTTACTTATATATTTCTGTCAATATACTAAAGTATAAAGGTTATTGTAATTGTTATACGGTAACAAATTCATTGCCTACTTATTCTACTTGATTCTTTATTTATAACGAATCGTGAAAGTTCCTGCTTTTTATTTTTATATTTTGAACACATAAATATTGGTACAAGAGGGCACCAAATGCATATGCGCCACACAAAACAATGAAAATTTGAAAAGAAGAAGGAAAAAAAGTAAGGAGCGTAAAAAAAACAATAACGTACAGATTAGTGAAGGTAGTGTAATAATAATAATCGGGGAAACGAAAAGGTACAATCAGAAGAAATCTCTCGGTTAAGGAAGAAGCAACCACTTTTTATGTAGAAAGTAAAAGAAGGTTACAGCAGGATCGCCACTGGCTTCTAGTCTGAGCCATATCTGATAACGTCTCTAGCCACTGTATCGTACCATCTCTAGGAACCCAACCAGGGAGTCGTGAAGGACCAACACAAGCCAGCCCTTTGCAGCCTTCTTTCATACCACAACACCATGTCATACACTGACCACCTCTCCGCTTTTTACAACCAGTCCCAGCGTCCGAAAAAAATGCACGACGTGGAATTCTCTTAGACGATATTCGTAGAACATGTCCAAGCCGCCGAAGTCGGTGTTTCAAGATGGTGACACCAATTGCATTATCGTCTCTGCGCCCGAACACATGATGCCGAACCTCTTCATTGCTAACATGGTGTTGCCACTGGATGTCAGCAAACCTTCGAGACAGCGATGATCGAACACAGAGAGTCGTTTAACATCCTAGACTCGGAGAGGCCAGGTTTCACAATCATAGAGCAAAACTGCTCTCACCGACGCGTTGTAGATTCGACCTTTTACAGCCAGACTAACATCACGAAGGCGCCAAAGATGGCCTAGATTGGCATAAGCCACTCTGACTTTCACTATACGTTAATTGATCTCATTACTCACGCCACCACCAGCACTTATCCAGCTACCTAGATACACGAACTTCTCGACTACTTCTATCTGCTCACCATCCAGGGCGAGTACAGAATTAGAATCCAGTCTTGAAGAAGTACCTTGCACTTCGAAGGCGCAAAGCACACATCGTGCCTACGGACACTGATTGCCAACTAATTAAGTGCGGATTGAATGGCTTGGGCATTATCGCACAGTAAGACAATACCATCCGCATACTCAAGGTCGGGAAGTCTTCCTCCAGGCAGCAGATATACATCGCCATCTGACCGATGTCACTGGAGCAGTAGAATATTTGAACTGCTCCTCGAAAAACTTCGCCCATCGTCCAAGACGTCGATAGATGTTAGTGATTGGTATCTCGTTACCTTCACAGATTGTTTCGCTCACACCAGACTTTCTGTTGTGATTGGCATGGTCAAAGTCCAGATAGGTACTCCAAAAAGTGCGGCAGTGTTGTACACAACCGCGCCAGCGGTAGCTGATCGCGATGTGATAAATCTGAGTCCAGGCTTGCGGTGCAGAGGGAGGACCCTAGGTGGCACATCGGTGATGGCTGTGCCGGAAGTTAGTGCTAGCCAGAAACAGGTTGTGGTCTGTCCACAGTTGCAGTAGACGAGCCACGTTACTTGTCCTACGGCCAACAAGTCCGCATCGGCCACCTATACGACTCTCTTCTGTGTTTAGACGCTCGACCTGAACATTCAAGTCCCCGGTTAGTACTACAATATTTGTCGAACGCACTTTCTGGAGATAACTGGTGGTAGAATTCATCCTTGATTGCATCCGGGCTGCAATCTTTCGGGGCATAGGTGGAGATAACGAAAATACATCGTTTCTCACGCCGATTTCTTCCCACTGTGATGGAACTTTCTAATCTAACAGCACATAGCTGACTGTTAATGAGGATTCAGTCGATTAGTGCTGCCTCAGCTCTAGCGCTTAGTGTGACACTAACGCCAGCAAGACCAGACGAAGGTGCCACAGGGTCCTCGGATAAGCGCACGTAAAACAAGCATTTCGAAGCGACAGATGAAGAGCGAATTTGTAGTACTTCACCAGAGTCTTGGATACGGGTCTCGGATAGACAGCAGATATCGGTATTAAGACTTCCCAAATACATAGCCAGCCCTATCTGTTTTTCGACCTGTATTTGTGTGCGGACGTTGAAGTCAGCTAGTTCAATTATTATTATTCTTTCGCCTAAACTGAATTATACGACAACCATGAATACTAAACTAAGTAAGTGTCATAGTTATTGTTTCATTTACACAGACATGTTGCTCAAAGTAGTTAAATGGACATAATTAAGCCGATAAAACCAAAACACGAAATATAGGCCTGTTGAACTCACCTAAGAGAAAACGAAGGATATATATATATACTGCTTTCATACTGAAGACAACAGACAGTTGTCCATAAAAACATAGTTTACAGTACAGCAAACCTTTCTTCAGTAAAATCATGCACTGACAGTCTATCTGGAAACAAACAACTATGTGAATAACTCACTTTGACTTGAGATATCATACCAGTGTGCAATGGACGTGCAGTGTAACGCAGTCGGACGTGGCGAATAAAAATTAAAAAAGAGCAAACTTAGCTACATAATCTAGTTATTGATTAAAAAATACATTATGAAATGACAAAATCTGTGGTTACTTGAACGCACAGATGACCGTTATTACACTGGGCGATACATAAAGTTTACATGGTTGCGTTGCGGATAAGTTCACCCACGAATTCTCTCTCTTTGAATGTAAACATCTGTGTACACATTGTTTTGGTTATTTTGTATGCGTCAAAATGTGGCCATATAGATACTCCAGTTTGAAGTTTGTTATCATCAAACATAAATCTTAGCCCACTGAATACAGTTAAGAATTAAGTGATGAATTGTATCTCTACCTAAATTTATACATACCGAGTACAGTCAGTTTATCGAATTTTTTTGACGCGAGCAGAAAACTTTTTGCATAATTAATAATCTGCACTGAGATGAACATTACCCGCGAGATAAACACGTTAATGCCAGAATAAATGTTTGTGGACATCTCATCATGATGACTCACACGATAGGTTTATAATTCCTACAACATTTGTACGACATACATCGTAGCACACGACGTCATGGTTTACGCAGACCAAATTTCAATCACATGGAATAGTATACTCCAACTACTGCTAAGTCTACTTAGATATGAAAAAAATATTCAGAACATAATCTCCGTTACTCTTTTGGTGATGAAATTCATATTTCGTCAAAACCGTTGATTGTTTTTCACTATTTTTGAAGATTCAGACTTGTTATAAATCCAATGAAGAAGCTAAGATCATCGATACATTGTACATTACATACTTACGGTTGAAAGTGTTTAAGTAACTCAATTGAGTTGACTCTGTCCTTGCATAAGGTTGACGTATTGTGAATAATGGGTGGCGCTTAATTTGCATTATCTTGTTTACTTGAGATTTACCTGTGACTTGACATTTCGTTTAGCTTTACTACAATTGTTGGGATCAAAGATCAAATTACAAAGCAACAACAGAGCCAAAGTGCACACTACAAAACAGAGAACGCTAAATTAATGGTTTTGTTATTTATTTCCTGCTTTTTATGTAGCATAGGATGACTTATATATGAAAAAACTTGATACTCATGCAAACCAACCAACCTACGGCAATTGAAATACGGAATGACCGCCTCTAATCAAGCCGTTCAAGGTCGCTGAAACGAAAGGGCGGGCACATTTCAAAAGGACCTAACGTTTAAACCGTGCCATCGCGGGCACGGTTTAAACGTTAGGTTGGTTGGTTTGCATGAGTATCAAGTTTTTTCATATATAAGTCATCCTATGCTACATAAAAAGCAGGAAATAAATAACAAAACCATTAATTTAGCGTTCTCTGTTTTGTAGTGTGCACTTTGGCTCTGTTGTTGCTTTGTAATTTGATCTTTGATCCCAACAATTGTAGTAAAGCTAAACGAAATGTCAAGTCACAGGTAAATCTCAAGTATTTGTAGTGTTTCCTTGGGTTATTATTGTTGCAAGGAATAACTGTTTAATAATTAGTAATGTCTGTTTTTAGTGCTTCATCCTCAAGTGACATTTCAGTCGACTTAACCGATGCCTTTCGAAGTATGATACTGAACAAGCGTTTCGTGTTGTGGGATGATTTTGAAAGCGCCTTAAAAGAGTTCCAAAAAGTATGGAACTATAATTTTATCGCTTCTCAGACTACTTATACTCGTTACATCCACACAGAAAGCAGATTGCTGAAGGATGTCAGGTTCAAATACCTGTTTGTATCGTTTAATTGTACGTTTGGTCACAAACGGAAATCGAAAGGTTTGAAAGTGAGGCAAAAATCGTAATATCTTTAACTAATATCTTATGTTTAAGGTCTAAATTCCGTAATTGTCAATCTAAATTCCGTGTAAGACTAGAAGAGCAAGGATATGTAATCAAATCCTACAAGATGATACACAATCATCCATGTAGTAGTTCATGGATGGTATGTGATCCATGGACAAGGGGATTATCGTCAGAAGAAAAAGAGAACTTGAAGCCCGTAATACTTCACTGTGAGTCAGCAGACGAAGTTATCGCTAAATCGGCAAATAAAACGATATGTACGAAAAAGTGAC